CTACAGAACAATATAATTAATTTCACATACAAGCAAGATTCTACTGAAGATTATCCGAAAACGACTGGAACAGCACATCAGCAGAGAATTGCCAGAAGTCCAGGCTGGGTTTAGAAGGGGTCGTGGTACTAGGGATATTGTAGCTGATGTTAGATGGATCTTAGCTGAAAGCAGGGAATATCAGAGGAATGTCTGTGTTTCATTGACTATGCAAAGGTGTTTGACTGTGTGGACCATAACAAACTGTGGCTGACTCTCAGAAGAATGGGAATCCCAGAACACTTGATCGTGCTAATGCGAAATCTATACTTGGAACAAGAGGCAGTTGTCAGAACAGAACAGGGAAACACTGCATGGTTCAAAATTGGGAAGGGTGTATGCCAGAGATGTGTCCTGTCTCCATACCTTTTCAACCTGTATGCAGAACAGATTATCCGAGAGGCTGGGCTCTATGAGGAGAAAGGTGGTGTCAGGATTGGTGGAAGATCTATCAACAATCTGTGTTATGCAGATGACACAACCCTGCTTGCTGAAATTGAGAAGGACCTGAAGTGCTTGCTGCAGAGGGTTAAGGACTGCAGCCTTCAATATAGATTGAGGCCTAATGTCAAGAAGACAAAGATTCTCTCCACTAGACCAATTGGCAGCATCAGGATGGATGGTGAAGAGATTGAGATTGTTCACAGCTTTGATTTGCTTGGCTTCACAGTCAACAATCTTGGCACCAGTAGCCAGGAAATTAAAAGACTATTGCGATAGAAAGTTTGCTCTTAGAGACCTTTCCAAACTACTGAAGAGCAATGGTGTCACTCTGGAGACTAAGGTGCATCTAAATATAGGCCATGGTCTTTGCAATCACACGTATGCATCAGAGAGTTGGACAATGACTAGGGAGGATAGAAGGAGAATTGATGCCTTTGAGCCGTGGTGCTGGATAAGAGTATTGAGGGTACCATGGACTGCTAGGAAAACAAACAGATTCATCCTGGAGAGAGTTAAACCAGGTGGCTCCTTGGAGGCAAGGATTCTGAGGCTCTGTCTAACATACTTTGGACATGTTGTAAGGAGGGACCAGTCCTTGGAGAGGAACATCATGCTTGGGAGGGTGCAGGGACAGTACAGGAGAGGAAGAACCTTTATGAGGTGGATTGATTCAGTGACTGGGATAATTGGAATGGATGTGTCAGAGACAGTGTGATTGGTACAGGACAGAGCAGAGTTTAGGGCTGTTGTACATAGGGTCGCTATGAGTTGCAAGTGACTAGATGGCACATAACAACAACAGCAACAACCAAAAGGTCCATGGTTCAGATCCACCAGCTACACTGTAGGAGTGCAGGCAATCCCCTACCACAAAGAGCCGTATTTACTGGGAATCTGATGCAATGGCCTTGGGCTTGGCTTTTTTTTTTTTAATGACAGTGACGCAGCATTGCTGTGCAAAGTTAATAAAACTACCATCTCCTCCCTACCAAGCCTTTTTACTTCAGCATCAAAACTTCCTCTCAAATGTAAAGTACAAAGAAATACAGAAATAACCCATCAAGTAGATTTAACTGGGTGTCTTTTAAAGTTAGACAGACACAGGAGTAAAGAGTGGTAGCTGGAGGAGAGGGAAGAAAAGGAATCTCCGTCTTTGTCAAGTGGCAACACCTGATGTGGATAATGTCTACATAACCTGATTGAGGAAAATGAAGACACTATGAAGGAGGGAAGAATGGGGGACAATTTCAGTAAACACTATAGCATATACAATTTTATAGCGTAAAAAACACTACAGCACAACCAAAATATATGTCGTTGCATAAGTATGTATGTGTATGCTGCTGCTGTTTTTGTGGCATCAAGTTGGAACTCACCTGTAACTGACCCTCTAGTGAGTTTTTAGAGATAGTGGATCGCATGGGAGGACACTGACCATCATTCTCCTGCGGAGCAGCTAGTGGATTCGATCCCTGTCCCTTCGTGCTTACAGCGCAGCTTCTTAGCACTAGGCCACCAGAGCTCCCTATGTATATGTGTATAGTGAGACACAAGTGAGTATATGAAATGTGCATATATAGGTTTGTGGGTAGACATATTTGTATATATGTGTGAGCATGCTGTATATATACACTTGCATACAAAAAAGCACAAAGTAGACACAACTTGATACATTCCCAGACTTGTTCAAACACTTTACCTCACTTACAATTATGATAAAATGTTCATGTGGTGTGTTCCTTGCTGTTGAGTTGGCATTAATTTATAGATGACCCTCCTGTGGGTTTTCAGAGGCCAAAAACCTCACAGGAGGAGATTGCTCATCTTTCTCCTGAGGAGCAGCTTATTACCCTGGTGGTAATAAGGATTCCTTTTCTTTTTTTTTTTTAAAAAATTATTTTTATTATTTTTCGTCAAATCGAATCTGTACCAACAGGAGGAGATTTCCCCCTCCTTCTCCAGCAGAGCATCTAGTGGATTCGAACCACAAACCTCTGGGATTGCAGTGCAGCTTCTTGCCACTAGGCCACCAGAGCTCCCTAGGATTTTCTTTCTTATTGATTGCTTTTTAAAAACAAGATTCATATCATCAGTGGAAAGATGTCTTAAATTGGTTGTGTTAATTATCTCCCAAGAGAATTAGCATCATTAAGTGGGTTTCTCTGAAGAATCATTTTCTCTTGCCAGGTTCTACTCTGCTTTTGACTAGGGTACAATGTTAAAGCACTTGATTCACATTGCTGGAAAAATTTTTACCCTTGTAGTTCAAACAGGCAGTATACAAACAGACCATGAAGCTCTTTGCTGAACTGGAAATTAAAAGAAAAGAAAGAGAAGCCAAAGAGATGCATGAAAGGTACATATTAATGTATTCATTTAAACCTTATCTGAATGCCCAGATATTAGTCTTTGGGAGATTTTCCTAATGAAAGAATTGTATAACGTACTATTGGAGAAGCTGTCTAAAAGTGTAATCTGAAACAGCCAAACTCTTGGGGACCCAAGACAGAAATTTTGGCTTTAACTTTTTGGAAATACCAGAGCATTTTGACAGTGTGATTATTGTACAGTATAATTACTTTAAAATGTTGAACTTTTCTTTAAAATTATGATATTCTTTGCTTATCAGAAATCATGACATTAACTTGGTTTATGTATGATGTGTTATTAACTGGTGCTTAGCAACAGTGAGATTTTGCTAGTTGAGGTTATTGTGTGAAATGACCTTCTCTTGGATAGGGTTTTATTCAGAGAACCATTTGGGCAAAAACTTCTGCCATTGTAATGGCCATCATCCCAGATAACATAACTCAGGTGGCTGAGTTCTTGACAGCCCTGTCACTGAGTTCCACATCTCATGTGGTTTGATCTTTCTGTATAACAGAAATATTTCTATTTGCTTCACCCATTTGCCTGTATTTAGATCTACTTGTTTTAGAATGAGCCATTCATGGAAGTGCATTGAGTCCTTTCCAGACAGCCATCTTTGTAGCATTCTATAGTGAATTGATGAACTTTATTTGCTTGCCTTTGTAGGAAATGCTTTAACTTATATGACTAAATATAAATACCATGGTTTTCCTCCTAGGAAGCGACAAAGGGAAGAAGAGATTGAAGCCCAAGAAAAAGCCAAACGAGAGAGGGAGTGGCAGAAAAACTTTGAGGTAAGTTTTCAAAGTAGCCAGGCATTGTTTTCTATGAATAAAGGAACATTTCTGCATAGAAACTTGGTTCCTGGGTCATCTGCACGGACAAGAAAATGAATGTTACATGAGGATTGAGAAATTTGGAGAATGAATTTGGGTTTTGGCTCAGCTACCTCAAGGTCTCTGACCTAGGCAAGGGCAGTGAGGGTCTCTGAGTGGCTTTTTTTTCTTCTTTTCCTGTTTTATATTTTAATAATTTCTGTTAAGTTTTCTGTTTCTATAATGAATCTATTTCATTATTAGAATTTTTTTTCTCTTCAAGAAAAGATAAAGTGTTAAGTAATGAGCCCTCTGTCTGCAAGTGTTTGAGCAGCTGTGAGATGACAGTGACAGTGACATTGGAGATGTTTTTCTCTGAGGAAACCAGCTAGGACCAGAGCAGCAGCAAGATTCTTGTGGCTGTAAGAGCTGTGATGTTGTGATGAGTGGGGTTTTTTTAGAGATTGTGATGGACAGAGCTGCCAACTGAATAAAAAAAAATGATTTATATATTAGGGGTAAATGTGTACAGCTGCTTTTCCAGCTTCCAGCAACATGGGATCTTTTATTCTGTAGAATTCATGGTTGTAGTTATTGTTATGTGCCATCGAGTCAGCTATGACTCATAGCAATCTTATGCACAATAGCTCTGAACCCTGCTCCGTCCTGAGCCAATCTCAATATCTCTGACACACCTACTCCCACACCTACTCCTGTTACCCCAGTTATTGTGTCAATCTGTTTCGTCTGGGGTCTTCTCCTCCTGTGGTGTCCCCTTCACCCTTCCAAGCATGATGTCCTTCTCCAAGGATTGGTCCCTCCTGGCAACACGCTCAAAGTGTATGAGGTGGAGCCTCAAAATCCTTGCTTCCAAGGAGAAACTTTGTTTCACCCTCTCCAAGGCAGACCTGTTCGTTCTCTTGGCAGTCCATGGTATGTATGTTTAGTACTCTTCTCCAGCACCACAAATCAAAGGCATAAATTATTTTTCATTTTTCTTTGGTCAGTGTCAGCTCTCTGGTGCATGACAAGTAATTGTGAATATCATAGCTTGGATCAGGTGCACCTTAGTCTCTAGTCTGACATTATTGCTCTTTAGCACTCTGGAGGGGTCCCTCACAGCAGATTTTCCTAATATGCTTCCATCTTTTGATTTCCTGACTGCAGGTGCCAAGAGTGTTGATTGTGGAACTGAGCAAGCTGAAATCGTTAACTGTCTCAATCTCTTCTCCATCTATCATTGTGTGCTTCCAGTTAGCCTGGTAGAGAGAATGTTGTTTTCTAGATGTTGAGCTTCAATCTATATTGCACACTATAGTCCTTGTCCCTCTGCAGCAAATGCTTCAGGCCCTCTTCCGTTTCAGCAAGCAAAGTTGTATCATCTGCATAATGCCGATTGTTGAGAAATCTTCCTCCAGTCCTGATGCCACATTCCTTCTCATAAAGTCCAGCCTCCTGAATGATCTGTTTTGCATATAGATGGCAAAAGTATGGAGACAGCATGTATCCTTGACACACTCCTTTCCTGGTTTTGAACCATGCAGTGTTTCCTTTCTCTATTTTGATGACTGCCTCCTGGTCTGAGTATAGTTTTTGCATGAGCACAGTCAGATGTTCTGGGATTCCCATTCTTCTTAAGGTTAACCACACAGTGATTGACACTGTCAAATGCCTTTGCATAGTCAGTGAAACACAGACATTCCTCTGATTCTCTCTACTTTTAGCCAGGATCCATCTGACATTTGTGATGATATCCATAGTGCCACAGCCTCTTCTAAACCAGGCTTATATTTCTGGTAGTTTTCTCTCAGTGTACTGTTTCGGTCATTTTTGGGTGGTCTTCATCCAAATTTAGGGTAGAGATTAACTAACCAGACTTGATGATTTTGGTTTTTTTCTCACTTCATGTATAAAAAGAGAAAATGAGGAAGTGATCCTAGCGAAATTCATAGGGCATGTGATTAGGCTTTGTGATGACTTTGTAGGGTGCATCCATGTTTTAGAGGGGAATAGGAAAGTGAGTGGAAAATGTAGCTGTACTGCTGGCTAGTTGTTACGGTCTTGGAAAAAGGTTTTCACCTCTCAGAGCCTCAGTGTTGTCATGTGTGAAATGTGGGTAGCTGGACACACCTTAATTGGGTCTTTATGTTAGAAATAGCGTGCTAAGCATCTAGCCCAGATGCCTTTCCAAAATGATGACTTCATTGTTAAGGGGTGTGTTACTTTGTTTCCGCCTCTTCTGGATGACCCAGAGCACACCCTTCTTTGTAGGTGTGACGTGACACTTCCTGGCTCATGGAAGTGGGAGTAAAGCTTTGCTGTGTTCTGGTTGTGGACCATTCCGAAGGACAGGACTGGCAGCAGGAGGCGGGCAGGGTGGGCATTGGATGGCAGAGCAGGTGGAGGCCCTTCATCTCATAAACTACCTCATATTTCCTTTGTGCTTAGGAAAGTCGAGATGGTCGTGTGGATAGCTGGCGAAATTTCCAAGCAAACACAAAAGGCAAGAAAGAGAAGAAAAATCGAACTTTCCTGAGACCACCAAAAGTAAAAATGGAGCAGCGTGAGTGACCCCTTTGGGTCACAGTCACAGAATCTTCCTCCAAATGTCTCCCTCCCCTCCTGCTTTGAAGGACTCATTCTTTCTCCCACCTCTACCCCAACATAGAGTAGTATTTGCTTTTAGTCCATTTTGTTTCAATACAGTTTAATATCAAATCAGAGTAATTTTTTTTGTACATTGAAATGAGGGACTCAGTTTTAAAAAACAAAAGACCTTCCCCACTCCCCACCCTACAAGCAACCAGGATAGGAAGTTGCCACCTTGGTGCACCTTCTTTTCCCACAGCCTGTAACTTAATGTTTTGTACTTCACTGGAATGGTGATGGTTAGAAACTTTGTGTATAGTTTATGGAAATCGTTCAATTAAACACGTTGCTTAAAATGGTGTTGCAGTGACTTCTGAGACCAGCCCGGAACACTTAGGAATCGCTTTTCTTTCAGCTGCTCACTTCTGAATGTGGCATCCTTCGAAGCTCCAGCTCAGACAGAGAAGGCAGTGCAGACAGGCAGAACAGTCACTGTCGACCTGCTTCCCCATGGTGTTTGGCATGTGCCCTCCTAATCTGCCTGACAAATCAACGTGGCATGAGGCTCCAAGGCACCCAAACCTGTACACTTGCCAAAGAGCTAGCTGTCCCCTATGCAGTTCGTTGTGCCCCAGCCTGTCTGTATTCATTAGTAAAATTCTGTATGTGTAATAAATTTTTATACCCAAAACACTGATAGTATTCCTCAGGCGTTATTCCAAGGGTGGGTCTCCTGTTAGATTTGGCCCAAGCCCAGAGTGCTTCAGAGCTGCATAGACCTGTCTCCTTGTTGTATATTATTGTTGTCATGTGCTATCAAGTCAGAACTGACTCCTAACAGACCTTCCAGTAGGTTTTCAGAAGCTGTAAATCATATGGGAGGAGAGTGACCATATTTCTCCTATGAAGTGGCTGGTGGATTTAAACCTTCTGCTTTGGGGTCAGCTGCAACTCCTTACCACTAAGCCACCAGAACTTCCTATCATGTATTAGCTGAACAATTTCTTCATAGGCAAAACTGGACTATCCAGTATCTGTTAAGGGAGGATTAATAATGATGAGGACTGTCCAGTATCTTTAAAGGGAGGATTAGTGGTGATTGTGATGAGAGAGAGAGAGAGAGAGAGAGAGGAGAGAGAGAGAGTGAGAGTGTGTGTGTGAGTGTGAGTGTGTGTGTGTGTGTAGTCTTGTGCTTTTCAGGAGCTTTGGTGGCCTAGGGGCATGGAGCTGCACTGCCACCCTAAAGACACTTGCTTTGAATCGACCAGCTTTTCAGCTGGAGAAAGATGGATAGTCTCCTTCTGTGTGATCTGCTGCCTCTGCAAACCTGCTGGAGAGTCAGCTGTGGGTTGGTTCCTTGATGGCACACAACGATAGCAACAGTGCTTTGGAGGTGGCTGCTACTTATATTTTTTCTGTGTAAAGTTTATTGTTAGGAGCAAATGAAATAAAATATGCATAGTGCCTGAATCATGTACTCAGATTCCTGCTTGTTTCAAGGGCAGGATCTTCCCTTAAGAGGAACATGTGGTGAGAAATAGAAAAATGACACTGAAACGGTGAAGAGTGGAATCAGGTGACCTTTTGTTCTGCCTATTACAGTGTTGTGATAGATACTTAAGCTTGGATTTGCTTTTCTATGGGTAGAGAAAAAAACTTGGATGTTTAGTGTCTTTTTGTGTACAGCTGATAAGGTCTAAGCTACAGATGAACTCGAGCTCAGGGGTGAGTGGGTGTGACTTTGACTAAAATAGGACAGAGGCAGAGGGTGGAAAGTTTAATAACTGCAGAAGTGGTCCATGCCAGGAGGTGATGTAGATGGTCCTGAGCAGCAAGCAGCAACTACCATATTCGCTCCTCGTATACACACTCACCGCTTAGCGTTTACATGGTCAACATTCAGTCCAACTGTCTGCAAACTAGTGAAGGCCTACATCAGTCTTTTCTTGCTAGTAACACAACTCAGCTAATGTTTCTTCAGCAGATACAGTGGTCTAGAAATAAAGTGGTCAGAACCATGTGGCCTCAGCCGCCTTCCCCACAGCCAGCTGAGGCTCATGAAGGAGTGAACAGGTGTGATGAGAATGAAAGTGTGTCCACTGTGGGGAGGAGGGAAGCCTTAATCTTGTTCTTGTCAGCTTGGAAGTATTTCCTGAAGGACATGAACTTTTAAAAGTTGGAATCTGACAGATGAGGCATTAGTTAGGAATGTTTTCAGCTGCAAGGGAATAACTCACAAAAGAATTTTGTGGGCAGGTGGTTTGATAGTGTCCATGGGCTCAGCAGTACCACCAGGGAACCAGGCTCCTTTTCTGCAGAAAGGCTTGTCACCTCATACTTGCAAGAATGTAGTGGGGACACAGTACCTCATGCCACCTCCAAAGTAGACAAAACCCTTCCAGGAGTCAAAATTTTCCCCAGATGTCATTGGCTAGACTAAATCATCTAGTTACCTCTAACTAAAGAGGATACTGGAAAAGTAGCAGCTGAGAATGGTCAGAGTCCAAGTGTTAGTCATCCCTCAGGACTGACCACCTGCCGTTACTCAATAAGATTTTGTTGGCAAAAGAGGAAGGGTGAATGATGGCGGGAGCAAGTAGCAGGGTCTGGTGCAGACAGATGGGTAACACCTGAAGGGTAGTGGGTTTAGTCAGAAAGAATAGTATGTGCAAGGCCGAAAGGTGAAATGGCCCATTTGTGGCATGGATATTATGCCTGCTACAAAGAAGTGGGGTGAGGTGAGACCAGAGGGATCATAAAGTCAAATTAAGGAATTTGGATTTCAGCCAAGATGACCCATTTTCTCAGTGGGACCATAGTATTCCCATCGTATGTCTATAAAAGAGATACCACAAGGGGATGGCTATGACACATTTAGTCCCTTATGGTTTCATTCACTCATTGTCATTGAGTTGGAAACAATTCAGAGCTGACCCTGGAGAAGGTTTTCAGAGGCTGTAAATCACACACATTATGGATAACTTTGAGAAGAATAAGAATCCCAGAACATTTACTTGTGCTTATGTGAAACCTATATATAGACCAAGCAGCTGTTAACCTGAACAGAACAAGGGAACACTGCATTCGTTTAAAATCAGGAAAGGTGTACATCAGGTTTGTATATGAAGAAGAATGTGATATCAGAAGTGGAGGAAGACTCATTAACAACCTGTGTTAGGCAGTTGATAAACCTTGCTTGCAAAAAGTGAAGAGTACTTGAAACACTTGCTGTGAAGATCAAAGATGACAGCCTTCAATATTATTTACCTCTCAACATCAGTAAAAATCCTCACAGCTGCGTTAATAGGCAACATCATGATGGATGGAGAAAAGACAGCAGTTGTTAATTCATTTTGCTTCAGTCCATCATCAACATTTGTGGTAACAGCAGTCAAGAACTCAAAATGTATTACTTTGGGATGATCTGCTGTGAAGGACCTCTTCAAAGTCCTAAAAGGTAAGGATGTCCGTCTAAAGATGTAGTGCTTTGTACATTTGTGTTCATAGCAGCATTATTCAAGGAAGTGGAAACGGCTCAGATGTCCATCAAACAGATGGATTGAGAAATTGTACATTCACACAATGGAATACTATGCAGTACGAAGGAGCAATGATACCATAAAATTATGTATAGCATGGAAGAATCTAGAGAGCATTATGCTGAGTGAACTCATATTGTAAGGACAAATGCTGCATAAAATCATCATAAAACTAGAAGCTAACTAGTAAGATATGTATAAAAGTAAAAAAGGGAAAGAGTGGCAGGCATGGGGGTTGGAGTGGGCACGAAGGAAGTCACTAGGATGACAGGGCAGAGAGAGGTGGGTAAAGGAACTAGGAAAGATCCAGTGGTGACCTGAAAAGATGAGGTAGTAGTAGGCATAGATCAATGGTGATTATAAAACACATTGTGTACTAATGTTTGTGTGAAACAATATGAATGATGGAATATCTGAAACACAATGTACATGGATATACAAATTTTATGTGCACACTAATAAAATTGAAAAAAATTTAAGTGAAAAAAAGATTTAAGTGCATCTGATGCAAGCCAGGATTTTTTTCACGTTTCCTATACACCTGAAAGTCCAACAGAGAATAAAGATTACAGAATAATTGATGCCTTTGATTTGTGGTGTTGGATAAGAGCACTAAATAACCTATGGACTATGAAAAGAACAAATTTGTCTTGGAGGAAGTGTGCCAAGGATGCTTCTTGGAGGCTAGGATGATAGAACTTCATTTCACGTATCTTGGGCACATTGTTAGAGGGGCTAGTCCTTGGAAAAAGACATTATGGTGGGAAACATGGGCAGTCAGAGAAGATCCTCAGGAAGATGGGTTGACGCAGTAATGCTAGGCTTGAGGGTGTCACATTTGATAAGGATGATGCAATAGAGAGCAAGGTTCAGATTTGTTCATAGGGTTGTAGCTGGCCCAACAGTACCTCACCTACCAACCACCATAACAAAATTGCTTGGATTTCTGGCAGTTTTCTGTCAAATGTATTGTTCTAACCATTTTTTTTTCTTCATTAGTCTTGAGCACTTTTTGCTTGCATGTGCTTGTTGTGTTGTTAGGTGCCATCAAGTTGTGTATGCCTCATAGTGACTGAACAATAGACCTGAACCCCATCCTATCCTGTGCCAGTCCTACAATCTCTGACACACTCAAGGCTGCTGTGTCAGCCTTCCTGGTTAAGGGTCTCTTTCACTGCCCTTCTACCTTCCCAACCTGATGTCCATTTCTCAAAGAATACCCTCTTCTAGCAACATGCACAAGATATGTGAGATGAAGCTTCATCATCATTGCCTCCAAAGAGCTTTCTGGTTGTACTTGCTCCAAGACATATCTGTTTGTTCTTTTGGCAATCCATTACTCATTGCTCTTCTCTAACCCCACAGCTCAAAGGCATCAATTCTGTCATCCTTACTCATTGTCCAGCTCTCAGGCATAAAAAGTGATTGACCTGAGTCAGACAC